GGGGGAGGAGCCGTGGAGAGACATTCGTTTACAACAGTGGACAACTAGTGGCGAAGCGATTTGCTCATTTCTCTAGTTTCAAAAAAAAAAAAAAAAAGGAAACACCCTTTGTGGAATAATTTTACCCTCGCTCTCCCCCTCGCTGTCTGAAAGTTCCTGACCCAATTTTTGTACACAGAAAAATCTTTCGCTTGATTAGTCTTTATTATACAATCTTGTGCGCAACAAAGACGAGGACAAAAGCAGAGAAGAGGACACAACAAGGCGCAACTTTCAACTGAATTTTATTGAAAACGTGTTCCGGTATATATAGTCTCAACCATCGTTACAATGACAACAAAAAGACTGAATGAAAGGGAAGTAACGGCTTATTCGCCGTACTTCCCTTTCATCCCTTAGAACAGGCGCGATACATATCGCCTGTTCTAAGCGATATATATTTAGCACAACTTGACAGTACTCTTAACAGCCGGCTTCAGGGATCAAAGGTAAAAAAAGTTTCATTCAGCCCACTCCAAGCTAGTCAAAAGGAGTATTGTTAACCTGTGTTTCACCAATGTACTAAAAAAGCCCTGTGAGCATTTGATCCCCCAGGGTTTTAATCAGCAAGTTTTGCGCTTGCTCGCAGCTGGGTATCCAAAACACATTCCTGCTGCGGTCGCGGAAGGCCTTCTGAGAAAGCGCTGTCTCGTAGGAAACAATGGGAGCCAGCCGGTAAGACAAAAAGGAAAAGTTGTTGTGATTCCGTATATACCCCGAGTGTCGCACAATCTAAAGAAAATAGCAGTGCGATCAAATTTTAAATTAGTGTTTTCTGCGCCCAATAGGCTCATGGACCTGTGCAAACTATCAAAGCCTGGCGTGCGTGCCAAACACGGATGTGAAAAGAAGCACAGAACGAAATTTGTCGACTGTACAAATGGCGTGGTTTATCGCATTCCGTTGTCCTGTGGCAGCCACTACGTCGGGCAGACGGGGCGCTGCCTAAATGATCGGCTTCGCGAGCGCAATATAACAACGTGCAAAAAAAGAACGGTGGCTTTCTTGACTTGCATTGCAGGACATGCGGTTGTACCCCACTGTTGGATGAATGCGTAAAAATTGGGAAATGCAAGTCAGCGGTAACACGCGAAATCATAGAAGCCGAGCACATTGATTATTTAGGAGACACGTGTGTTGCTATGCCGTCGATTGCATTATCGGAGAAGGAATTGTTTTTCCTGAGAACGAGATAGTGTTGTTTCCCAGTTATGCTCTGTCAAGGTTTTTTTTTTTCTTTACTTTTGTCTTTTTGTTGTCATTGTAACGATGGTTGAGACTATATATACCGGAACACGTTTTCAATAAAATTCAGTTGAAAGTTGCGCCTTGTTGTGTCCTCTTCTCTGCTTTTGTCCTCGTCTTTGTTGCGCACAAGATTGTATAAGATGTCAAACCAACTCGCCCAAACAAACACTCTTCATTAGTCTTTACTTCCCTAAGGTCATGATAAAAAAATTAAGAAAAAAAGTTTTAAACCTGGAAAAAAAACTTACAAACACGAAACCTTTTTTTTTTTTTTTCACAGAAAAACTAAGAGCTATTGCTGGTAAGAGGCAGCAAGTGATTATAGCCAGTGTGCTGGTAACCGGTGTCCTGTTCCAGATAGTGAAGTAAATCAGTCTCTGGCAATAGTATGAACCGGACTGTTACTAAACCCGGCGTACAGATGAGGGGTGTTGGTTGGCTGGTTGTGTTCCAGCAGTCCTCGTTCGCATGCTGTAGTTTATAATAAAGTGCCTTCATGTCGGACATGAAGGCACTCTAGTTTATAAAAGCGGATTTACTAACATCTCCGACTCATTCTGCGCGTGAGATGGGCATGAATAACGAAAGTCCGTCGCCATGGCCAACAGGTCTGAATGAAATGTATCAAGTAAAGGAGACAGAATCAGGTAATTTACAGTTTCAATGCCTAATCTGCATGCCTAAAATTAAGCTACTTTGCGCATCAAAACACTATGAAACCACTCTGTAAATTTTATCTTTATCCAAGCTTGTTAAGGAGGCTTATCATACATCTCTGCCAAACATATGTACTCGAACAGAAAAGTAACGTAAAAGTAACGTTCGTTATTTTTGAAAAGTAACGGTAACGGTATATCGTTACGTTTGTAAAAGAGTAACGTAGCTCGATAACGCGTTACTTTTTACCAAACTAACGAGTAACGCTATTTCGTTACTTTTTTTCGGTAACGGGCACAACACTGGAACTCAAAGGTAATAGAAAGAAGAAAAGGGGACGGAGGATACCACGCGCTCACATCCCACCGTAGCCTTAAAAGACCAAGTCTCTTGGTTTAGAGCAGGGGTCTCCAATCTTTTTGGCTAAGGGGCCGGATTCAGGCTCTGTCTCTGTCTTGAGGGCCGGAAATATAAATGGGCAGATGTAAATGAGGAATATCTAAATAAATAATCATAGATATCTAAGCATTTAAATATACAATATTTAAAGTTAGAGTGAACATGAAACAAAAATATTCTAAGGTGGATGAATGCATTCACTTTGTTATGAAATGTAATCATTTAGCTGCTTATGACATCACACAATAATTGGAGCCCAGAAAACATACCAGCATAAACCAGAGCGCATACGAACTTCGGCAAGTTCAAACAGGCCAGAAGACGAGTGAGAACGTTAGAAGTTATGCTGACAATATTTAATAGCTACGACACAGTACACCAAGCACAATATACATAGGGACGTAAATTAACTTTAACGTACTTAGTTACCCAGATATGGAACAGGGGACTAGGAGTGTGGATTCTGCTAATGACAATGTCCAATTACTAATATGACCAGAGGACACACCTTACGGTAGGCAGTTTTCTCTCGTGTTTTTCTGGTAACTTCGTTTACGCAGTTGGTGCGCGCCGCGGCGCCGTTTTACACGCGCTTATTTTTTGGCCAGTAGCAGCGGGCGTGCTGGAAGCGGGCCGTGGGCCGGGCTCCATTGGGAGGACTGCAGCCAGCCACGGGCCGGTCGGAAGACCTCCGCGGGCCGGGGTTTGGAGACCCCTGGTTTAGAGCAAAAGAAACAAACGACTTGGTTACGACAAAATAAAACGAAAAGAACGCAGAAGGCAATGGCTATCAACTAATATTAAAAAAATACGCAAGAGTTTACCACTAGAAGCACTAGGCTATAGCTAAGATCACAAATATGCGAAATGAGGCCTAACATTCGAAACGCATAGTCACTCTCACAGCAAACCTCAAATAAAGGTAAATGGTTGACGCTGGAATGCAAATTGAAGGCTTCAACAGCACGCAAAAGAAAAAAGGAAAGAGACGAACGTACTCACTTCCCGCCGTATCTATAAGAACCGAGTCCCTTAGTTTGTGTAAAGCCAAATTCACAGTTACTAGAACAAGAATAAGAACGGCCGGGGCAAACGTTCAGTCCAACTCATTGTCGCATAGATAGTGAGGTCTTCGCCGAATACGTTGTAAGCGCTGATGACCCTGTGGCAGCTGAGGAGACGGTTCACTTTCTGCTGTCTCTTCGGCGGAACGCTGCTGTTCTTCGGGGCTTAATAGCTCTTCTCCTTGGCTTGCTACTTGTGTGGCTAGGCTGGGCGGTTCTACTTCGCAAGTGGGCGACTGAATCTCTACTGAGGTAGTCGGGGGAATATACAACTTAATCTGGAACACATGTACTGTCCTGGGTTGGTTAAGAATACGAGATCCCAAACCAGACACGCGGAAGGCCTTGAAGGTGGTAGGAGTCGACTGCTCTACAAGGCGGTAAACTCCATTGAATCGGGGAGCGAGCTTGCCATGGGGGACAGGCACTTGGCGTTTCACCCATACACGATGGCCGACTGTGAAATCATCTGGACGGTGGCTACGGTCGTAAAGTCTTTACGCAAGGACTGGGCTGTCTCGGTGTTGGCTGCTGCTTCAGACCGTTGATTAGTCATGTCGAGAATACGCTCAACGAGACTTGACTGCTGAATATGGCGATGTTGCTGTAGTGGAAGCTTAGGTACGTAGCCGAACAACAGCTGAAAAGGCGGATAGCCTGTGCTCGAATTAATTGACGTGTTAACGGCAAAGGCAGCTTCGTGTAGCTTGGCGGGCCATGCCAAGGGTTCCAATGCGCTAAGCTTGCGCAGCGCTGTGAGGAGTGTTCCGTTGCTCCGCTCTACAAGGCCATTACCTTCAGTCCGGTAGGCTGAGGAGTAGTGGAGCTCTACGCTGTGTAGGCGCATGAAGCGCTTGAACTCAACGGATTCAAAGGCTGAGTAGTGATCAGAGAGACAGTGATCCGGAGTTCCATAGATACAAAAAATTCGATGCAAGTGTTGAATGACGTCACGTGCAGATGTCGACGATACTGCTGCTGGTGCAAGAAAACGAGTTGCAAAGTTTATAACATTCTGGATGGACCGAGCATCACCACTGGGCGGCATGGTCACATGATCCATGGCAATGCTCGAGAAAGGGATGTCCGATGTCAGCATCCTACCGAGGAGTCCAAGGTTGCGGGATGTCGGACGATTATACTGTTGACAGGTCTGGCAAGATGACACATATTTCTGAACTGACCGCTCCATGTGTGGCCACCAATAGCGATCTCGCACTTTTTGAACTGTTCGCTATATGCCGAAATGTCCTGCAGAGTCATGTAGAGCCTGAAGAACTGCTGGACGCAAGACTGATGGAGTGACAACAGTATACGTGCCTGAAGGAGACCGGCGGTACAAGATGTTGTCCACAAGGGTGAACTCTGTTGGTACATCTACATTGGATAAGCTCTGCAAAATGGCGCAGCATTCAGTGTCTTCGTTTTGCAGCGCAGATAGGGACTGGGGGGATTGTATGGTAGCACATGACAGGCGGGACAAGTGGTCGGCTACCACATTTTGACGACCTGGGCGATGCTGTACAGAAAAGTCGAACTCGACCAAGTCCATAAGCATAGACGTGAATCGGCGAGAGGGCTTTGCACTTTTTGTCAAGCATGCCACAGTCCAGTTGTCTGTGATGAGAGTGAACGTCTTACCAACCAGGTAATGACGAAACTTCATGGTGATTGCCCAATGCACGGCTAGGCATTCCCACACATTGCTATGGAGCTTTCGCTCGTCTGGAGTGAGGGCACGGCTGGCATAGGCGATAACAACTTTCTTGTTATCTTGTACTTGTGAAAGCACCGCACCTAATGCTGTGCCAGAGGCGTCAGTTGTCACTGTTGTGGGAGCATTTGGGGCAAAGTGAGCAAGGAGAGGAGGCTGGGTTAGAGCTGTGCGGATTGTCTAAAAGGCTTGCTCACACTCTGGAGTCCATAAAAACTCTGGGGCCTTGATGAGGGCTTGTAGCGGGGTCAGAACTTTGGAAAAATCCTTAATGAAGCGCCGATAGAAGCTAGCTGTTTGTATCCATGAGATTACTTGCTTCTGATTGCGAGGAGTTTGAATGCAGCACATGGCTGCGGCTTTATCGGGGTCTGGCTGCTGGCCTGCGCTGGATATAACAAATCCGAGAAACTTAATCTGTGGAAGGCCAAAACGACACTTGTCTAACGAGGCCTTAAGTCCATTGTCCAGAAGCGATTGGAGGGCTTCACGAAGAAGTTGCGCAAACGTGTCGAACGACTGAGCATAAACAAGAATATCATCAAGATATACACGAATACCAGACTTGTCGTGGCGGGGCTTCAGATCTTGAAAGACTGTCTGCGTGAGACGTTGGAATGTGGATGGCGCATTTTTCAAACCAAAAGGCATCTGAGTCCACATGTACATGCCGTGGTGAGTGATGAAAGCTGTCTTTTCATAGTCCTGGGGGCGGAGGCTGACTTGCCAGTATGCACTTTTCAAGTCCATGGTATCGAAGTACGCGCATCCAGCGATGTCATGGATGATATCATCCACAAGAGGCAGGGGGTACACCACCGTGATCGTGCGTTCATTGAGTGGTGCATAGCTAACACACAAACGTTTCTTATCTCCGCGAGACACTACGACCGCTGGAAAAGCCCATGGGCCAGATGCAGGAAGAATAACACCTTGGTCCAGGAGTTTCTTTATCTGTTTTTCCAGGAACCGTCTGTCTTCGGGAGCATATCGGTATGGGCTACGGCTGTAGGGCAAGGCGTTTGGTAACAGGTCAATGCGATGTTGCATGCCTGTAAAATAGCCTAAGTCATCTTCGTGACGGGCAAAGACTCCATTCTGCTGTGTCAAAATGTCGGCAATGACAATATTTCGACTGAAAGATAACTGATCTCCAAGGAGGGCTGGCGGAAGATCAACGTGAATGACTTTAACAACAGTACCGGCTATCTGGGCTGGCAGCTCGGCATTGGGACTATTTAAAGGCAAACATGGAGTTTCTTGGGCGAAGGCTTGCCGGGATGGCTGCTCCGACGACGGCAAGGGCTCTCTCTGTAAGCAGTCTTGTGACATGGTCTGCACTTGTGAATTAAGGCTTGATTGGGTGAGAATTACGGCGTTTGACATCCGTGGTGCTAGTTTTTGTTCTGCTATGATAGACAGACCTGTGACCGTATGCTGGAGCCGGACGGGCTGTGGAGGCTCAAAGATCAGACGCACCGGTACGGCTCGAAACCAATCTTCACCAATGATGAAGGGGAGGATGTTGTGTTCCAGAACCGCGGCCTGGACGACTCCCGCGATTGGGCCAATGGTGATCTTAAGTAAAGCTGCACCCGCTGGGAGTACGGTGGTACCTCTTACAACTTCCAGTGGAGGCTCAGTCCAGGGATGTAGCATGCGTTCTGGAACAAGCGACTTTGCTATGAGAGTCAGCTTGGAACCTGAGTCTGGGAACGCATCATAGTCTCCAATTCCAGTGATGGTGGCTGAAAAGAATGGGCACTGCAGCTGAGAGCCTTCAAGGGTTGCTAGCATGGTATGAAGAGCTGGTGGTAATGGCGCTGTAGGCATGGCTCTAGCTGCCGACGACGATGCCTGGGCTGACTGATTGGTGTATGTTGTACACTTCGAGGCGAGGTGACCGAGGTGTTTGCATTTATAACAGACCGCTTGGGACAAGTCTTGGCCATTACGAAACGCTGGAGCTCCATATTGTGACGAGATGGCTTCGTACCTAGCCTCTTGCAGGTCGATGGGCAGGTCCGCGATGCGTTGACGTGAGGCTGCGGGTGACGGTGATGTGAAGCCAGAGCGCTGAGTAGGGTGGGTTGGACATTCGGATCTAGCCGACTTAGACGAATGTGATTGGTAATTTGGTTGGCCAGGAGTAGTCGAAGGGCTTGACTTGGCGTGCTGGGCGGACCTATCCAGGCTCGTACATGTCGCAAGAAAGGCTTGGACGGTTGTTGGCCTGTTGGCTGCCAATGCTGCGACGATATGTTGGTCCCGCATGCCTTGGAGTAGGTAGTCAATCTTCTGCGGATCGCTGAGGGTTACAGGGCAGCGTTGGATGATCCTTAGTTTGGCGAAGGCGTACTGATGAAGGGATTCGCCAATCCCTTGAGTCACGTCCATCGCCCGTTCCTGCCAGTGGATAAGGGTCCATTCTGTGATGAATGTCTCTTTGAGGGCGACTCTCCCAGTTGGCCACGTGTCGTATTGGCTTCCGAACGCGAGGTGCCAGTTTCGTGCTGTACCTTTCAACTTGCTTGCTGCGATGAGCCGGGTGGTGGCGTCCTCCCATGACGCAAGTTGCTGGACGTGACGAACGTCCTCAAGCCATTCTTTCACGTTTTGCTTTGGGGAGCCCTCGAGCTTTGGGAGGGACGCGGACAGGTCTGGTAGCGTTGTAACTGTCGTTGAAGGACGAGGCAACTGCTGCAACAAAACAGAAAGGTTCTGTAGCGTGATGGGGTCAAGTGCCAAAGAGCCAGCGACAGAGGCCGACGCTTGATCCAGGCAAGGCGAAGATTTGCGTCGCGCCTCGATGTCCGCGGCGAGTCGCTGAATGAGGGCTTCTTTTGAGCCGGAAGTGTCTAGCTCACGTGCAGCGAGCTCTTCCTTAATAAGCTTGACGCTTACACGACATAGTTCTTGCGTCCAGTTTGCTCCAGACAATGCCGGGCATGGCTTCGCGTCAGGTTCACGTCGCGGCGTAGGCGGAACCAGGCGATTCGAGGCAAGGGTGGAGGTCGGGCTAGTGTAGGCTTTCACGGTTCAGAGTCGACTGCGCCAGATGTAAGGCATGAAGGCCAAGTCTTGTAAAGGAATTGAGAAAGTATATTTACATTAAAGGTACACGTTAAGTAGTTGGGCTAAGAGCGAGTTGGTGGTGGCTGGTTTCACTGGCTGAAGGCTCGACAAAAGCCCGCGACAGGCACCAGACAGGAACGCACGAGCGGTCCGGGTCGCGCATGAGGGCGGCTTCTTTGTCTTCCGTCACCAGTCACGCTCACTTGGGGCGCGTCAAAGGTAATAGAAAGAAGAAAAGGGGACGGAAGATACCACGCGCTCACAGTACGTTACTGAAAAACAAAGTAACGGGTTACCAGTTACGTCATTACTCGTAACGCGTCGCTTCCAGCACTGGATTGGTGGCATTTCCTGCCCAAAGTTGCCTCTTTTGGCCACATGCTGCGCTGACTAGACACGCGACGCGATTCCACACGGGGAAAATATCCCTCCATTTGCTCCCTGGGATACGCGTCACGTGCTAACGTTCTGCGCTGAGTCGCGCTGACGTAGACACCCCAGGTGGGATGGGAGAGCTCTTTTTCAGCCTGCACCAAAGCTCCCCGCCGCCTTGGCGTGAGATCTCTTTGCAATTGGCGGCATTGTGTCACGTGTCTTGGCAACTTTAGAGATTTTGCTCAGTGAGATGCCGGCATCGTGATCGCCTAGCTTGTGGCTTGCGCTTTGGTGCATGCCGTCCGTGACACCCGAGGGCTATTCATCCATGCCGTCCTCAAGCCGCTCCTCATACTACTCTTGTTGTTGTTTTATTATTATTAATTTTTGTGTTTGTGTTGCATCCACGCATTTAAAAAGTCACTTTCATGTAGCAGGAAACAGTTCGACGTCTTCTGCATCAAACAGCGCTGCTGCCATAATCGATCGCCGTTTTAAGTACGCCTCCATTTCTCTACTCTCGTCAGCGCCCACTGAGCCACGTTGACGAGAGTGGGACCGCTAAATGCGTCTGATAACACTGATATCCCTCTTGGCTCCCTGCCGTTCGTGCGAATGCTCGTGTCGGGAAGGGAGCCCCGCTGGTTCCGCCGATCACTGACGTCACGCACATCCCTCCCCGAAATGCATATCCCTCGTGTGAATACCCTTTAAGATACCACCAATTGCAAAGAGATCCTATCGCAAATAACCCCTTTGTGTTTCTGCAGCCCGAGCAAAAGCTCCTCCATCCCCCTGAGATGCCTACGTCGGCAAACCAATATGTTGACCTAGTTGGGTGAACACCAGGAAAATTGAAAGCGTGAACGACAAGGACAAATGGAAGACAACATAAATACAAAAACAAGCTCGTGGAAGATCATACTGAAAGCGCTGAGTGTAGTCTTTCACTTGTCCTCGTCTTTCGTGCTTTCTATTTTCGGGATGTCTACGTCAGCGCGGCTACGCACGCAAGCGTGAAGTTGTTAGCACGTGATGCCCATCCCGGGGAGCAGAGAGGGGGATTTCTCCCCCGTGTGAATATCTCTTAAAGGGATCATGAAATGATTTTTTTTTTCAGTTTCTTTCTCCTTAGCATTAATCCTCAACCGAAAATCAGGATGAAAAATCACGCGGTCATGACGTGCATGGCACCAGATGCCATGACTCCAAGCTTCCACCGTGCTTTTAAATGCACATCCTGGAACTTGTCATTTGCAAAAAATGATAAGTGCCGTCACGAAACTAGTTAGCCACCAACGGAAATAGACCGAATTCACCAACCAGTTTGACATCGGGGGAACTTTAGTTTCTCACGTTCGACAACATCGCTGTAGCACTGCGCGTGTAGAGCACGAGACGGCAAGAAGCCCCCTCGTGCACTGCCGTCTGCCTCCTGCTAACTAATGTTATAGCGGCGTCACGCATGCGCTAAACGCGTAGGGAGATCGGTCTATGCAGATATTCGTCGACAGGTTGATTGTTGACGACCGCATTCGTCCGAGTGACGCAGTGCTCGTGTCCCATGCTTGAGCTGGAAAGGGCTGACGTGCTTGGGCGTGCACCGCGGATGCATCACAGTGAAAAGGCCGAGAGCTTTCGAACGAATAGAAGTGAGAAATAGTGCGCTATATTTCTTTTTTTTTTTATATGTTAGTACTGAAAAGCAGGCTTTTGGCTCGTGTACTCGTTTTCTTTTGGCGGACTGAACGATATGCGATTAGTCAAATCCCAATTCTTCCCAGTCAAAAATTCATTTCAGGGTCCCTCTAATGACAGTCAATCCGGCTATTCAGGTGACATTACATTAAAGCTAAAATTAGGTCAGTTCTGAAAGTGATTCTCGGATACGTCGAGCTACGGTCTTGAAAGATCAAAGTGTCATTTAAGTTATAATTGCCGACGATTCTAATGGCTCGAAGAGCAGTAAATACATCGCCATAAAATGAGCCGTATGGTGACGCTTTGCAGCAGTTGTGCATGTGCGCCGCCAAAACCGACCTTCAGTTTTTGTTTCCTCTTATTGCGTTTCCTTCAGTTCATTGTTACCACAACAGGGCAGGTTATTGCCATTTTGGATTCTACTGTGTCCTTCTGCTCAGCATTGGCCTATGTGGAGGCTCGCCAACGACCAGCTCAGTGGCTCGGCATCTGGGAAAGACATGAGAAGGTCACCAATGGCGGCAGGAATCTGGTGCGTGCGTAAAGCGTCTATTTTCGGCGAGAGCCACGCTAGGGGACACCACTGCGCATCACGTGAATGTCACGTGATGCATGCCTAGTTTGTCTACATCGCGCGCGCAATTGCGGTACGCCGTGATTGTCTGCTTTCAGACGCGGCCCGGTGGTTTGTTATTGTTCTGCCATGGTGACACAGCATACGCAACCGAGAAAGGTGTAAGACAAAATCAACTGGGGAAGTGGAGAATCAACTAAAACAGGGAAAAAAAGGAGTGGGCGACCGCGATGGGTGTGCTCCAATCACTAATCAGATGCTTTCACGACGAATCGCGTTGCATTTTATGTTATGTTTGGCTTTTCGTCGCGAGTGTCTGTTTCGTCCACTTTAGGAATTCTACAGGCGGGACTCGGAGTCGGCGCCAACGATAAGCCGATAATCCGTCTTTCCTTTTTTCCCACACTCGAGTTTCTTTCTCAGTGTCGGCCGTTCTCAGAAATGTGAGCTTTGTTCGAACGTAGATTGACCGCGCAAGGTCATGGCGTGTTATACGTGTGTACATAGGTGACTGCAAAGTTTGTAGAAAATATAGAAAAGGGAAAAGGATTTTTGTTTTGTTTGTTGCGTTGTTTGGAGACTACGTATCTTCGTTTCAAACTGCATACAATATGTTTACTGAATAAACGGAATACAATTTTTCTTTCTATCAGCTCCCCTCCCCTCAACTAATGATGACCGTCTGGCCTCTGGCTAAAACATACACGTTAATATTTCCTCTTTCGCCAAGCCTTCTGTTTCTCCCTCTCTCTCAACTTATTAGCTGATATTGAGACGTCGTCTGACTGACTTCTTTCCCTGTCTCTTCTACGCTTGGTTGTTTCAAGGTTTTCTTCACACTCAGTCTAAGGTGTCTTAACATAATGGTAAACTAAAAAAACATTCACAAGTATCAAAGGGACATCGGACACATACTTAATAATGCCTGTAGACCACCAAGTTGAGGTACCAACTGTCACCAGGGACTGCAACTTTGTCGTAAGATCAATTGATAGGAAAAATTGCTCGTTTCGTCGGCATAAAAAAAAAGGACAAAACAGGCTTTTTTTTATTACGCTAGCCGAGCACGAGATACGGGCCTAGATCCTTCATAACTAACGTTTGAAGCACTTCGGCTCTTCGTGAATTCGACACAGAAAGTTACGCGCATCTCCACAGCAAACGCATATAGTACAAACCATTTCTGAAACACATCGGATGCTGCAAAGCTACGCAATTAGAGCACTCGTCCACGCACGATCCGTCTTCGTGTCCGCGTACCGATTCATGCGGGGAAGGCCCGTGCCAGAGCTGCCGACATACGCCACTCGGCGCGCTGACAACAGCGGTAACGCACCGCCGCCCACCCTCGGGCAACAATGGCCGATCGCAGAAAAGTCGCCACGGTCTGTTAAACCCAGCCCCACAGCCGTACCTCCGGCTAAGCTGTCCCCACCTTTTATGGAAGTCCCTTTAGGAAGCAGCATCTGCCGAACGATGGGTTGACTAAACGCCGATAATTCATCACACGCGCGTGCTCGGTTTAAAAGACCGTAAGTCGCTATTAGGTCCCTTCATCCTTCCCCTCGCTCTCTCGCTCTCTCGCTCTTTCTTTTTCTTTCTTTCTTTCAAAGCCCGGAAGAGCATCAGGTAGCGACGGCCGTGACTGGCAATTTGCCGCGTGTAGAGCGGCCATCGGGCCGGTGGTCGGCGACGGAAGGTCGGCATTACGATGATGGTTAATTGATGAGTCCGGAGAAGCTCGGCTCTTTTTCGTTCTGTCAAGGTTTATTGGCGATTTTCATCGCGTGTTTCTGAACCTACTTTCACGGCTTCTTTAGACCGTGAGGCGCTGTGAACCCTACCGTTAATATAATAATTTAGAGGGAAGGGTCCCATGCATTCGGGTGGCATCGGAACGACTGGAGACGATGGCATTGCTGGTCCTAGGTGGTGATGCCGATGGGCCCATATCACTGACGACGCCTTGATATGCACAAAGAAGCAGCAAAGCATCACCTGTAAGGTCTCCGCACCTTGTTCGTTTTTAGCTTATTTGCAGGAAAACACCTGAATCGCCCACTGTGTAGAACCAAAAAAAAAGAAAAGTCGACAAGCGGCGCTCGATCAATTTTAACTCGTCGCGCCTATCCTGACGAAAATAATCCCTGGAGAAGGGGAAGAAGAAAGACAAAGGACAAACACAAATCTCCAAAGACAGCTAGGTGACTGGTCCGCGACCAACA